AACTAAAACTTAATTAAACCAACAAAGTGGTCAAACTACTGACACCTTTCGGGATTAGTACAAGTCTGTTGAAGTGTCTCGTTACGTCGTTACTCAAGAGGTGGGCAAATAATTGAAATGCCACGGCGCGCATTTCAACCACCACGACCCAGAGACAGAACAACCTTCGTGAAGTACTAAAACAAATCGCAAAAATTGTCCCACCTCTAAAGCGGGACTCAGTAGCGCCTATTTTCTGCTTTCCAGTGCAATTGCAAACCTCACCTCGAGGTTAGTGATGTCGATAGACGTCAAAACATTCACTCAATCAAAGTGACTGACGGTCGCTTTAAGGCTCATCTTGTTCTTGACCGTGTGGAGTGGACGTCAGTCCAAGCCAAACCTCAGTCTTCTCCTCTCTTCTCTCTCATCTCCTCTTTGACTACGAGAATTCCATCAATGGAAGACGCAGGGAGGTCGCATTGATGAAGGTGTACAGCCAACACGACTTTGTTGCCACCTTTTTCCAGCAAGACGAAGGAAAATCTCCATCCTCTCCACAACTAAAAATGCCACCTTAGTTTGGCATTTACCACAACTTCGTCTTTCACTGACCTTCTTTGAAGAACCTCAACACCTTCCATCTCACAGTTTACCACGAAAGTTGGTGTTGACTGTAGGCCGATCTGCCTCGTCTGCCATGCAGTGCAACTTCACAAGACTTTCATAAAGGCAAAAGACAATGCAATACTCGATCAGAGTATGCACATGACCTCGAGGAGTGCTGAAGATCATTGGCCTGACCTCATCATCAGAACGTCTAGCAAAACCATCGTTAAGACCATCTTAACTAAACTAACTTATTACATTTTTAAGGTGCATTTTTTTTTAATATTTGCCATAATTATTGTTTTGTAGGAGAAGGCACTAAGACGGTCTCCTTCCACGACTTCAGGGGAGAGTGGGGGGGGGGGGACAGATTAGCCTTTGGCCTGACCCCGACGGTCTCTCCACCCAAACAAGGACGCACCAGATGTACACAGCCGACTTAGCGTCTCCCCAACTGCATCTGCAATTGTGTTCGGTTTCTGGTGCTCCCACATACGGTGTAGGGGAGAGGAAAATTGGGATCAACCACAGTCCTGTGCTCAAAACTGTAACTTCAGCTGCTAACACCTTGCCAGAGGAACAAGAAAACTGTCAAACACTGACGTTGTTTTCAACCCTTCTATTGTGGAGCCGTTGGTACTTCTACCACCCAAATGATGAAAAGCAGTACTTAAGTCATAGCCTAGTCAAGTTGGCTTTTCCCTGCCACCATTTCAACGTCTCAAGGCTCTAAATTTGGCAGAAGAAGGGGGGAAAGATTGGATTTCGATTGGACCGCCATTCCTACAGGCATTTAACTAAACAAGCTACAACAATCACCATCAGATGCTCACTTCTCCTCAAGATAGTTTTCTTTTTTTACGAAAATCTTTGTAATCGTATTTATTAATCCTCATTATTTTTAAAAAAAATTGTGCCTTTTGTAAGGATGTCTCTCACGAAGATTTAACTGCTTCAATGAAACGTTCCCACCGTCCTCACCTCGACTCCTCCGAGGTCAACGCCAATTGCCGCCATGTGACGAGGATGACCTTGTCACTTGGCTACACCGTCTTTCCCACGAGTGAAGACGGAAGGTTTGCTTAGAATGTTTTAAAATTATCAAAAGTGGGAAGCAAATTTTGTCTAGTCATCGCTTGCATCCTGTGTTGTATAAACGATGGACTGAGGGTAATTTATTATTGAATTTTAAAAATTGGTCGTACGGTGGATACTCAATCACTCATCACCGTTTACATTCCTTTTGTTTACGCTATTCAAAGTTGTTTTAAAAAAAAAAATCACTTCGTCGATGGATTGATGTACCGGTGAATGCAAGTTTAAAGGCACCGTGATCTGCAAAAATCACTGGAGGAAAGGGAGAGATTTGCATTCTGGAAAAACAAACAAAACTCCTCATTTTCATGTGAATGCTTGATTAATTACTCGCACAGTCATCGTGTGGAGGTTTTCCACCCCCTGCGGTGACTCTGCCCGAACTTCAATTCTTTTATCCTGTTTTAGGCCATGTCAATTCGCAAGATTTTTTTAATTGCTAAAATGAGCTTATAAATTATAATTTGGTAATTGCTTACAATGATTGAAGTTTCACACTTAACTACATCCACTGCCGTGCTTTCATATGTCTCATCAAAATGTGATGTGGTAGGCACAATGAGAGTTGAGTTTATGGTCCAACCGTCACGTGTCGAGACTTCCTATTTGAGGGGAGAAGGCATTAAGTAGGTCTGAAGACATGCATTGAAGGGGAAATGGGGAAGATTGGTAAAAAAGAACTAGATAAATACCAAATAGACCGCTATTCCTACAGGACATCAAATTTTAAAAAAATCAATGACAGTATGAATTCACAGTGTCTGAAAGTTCAATTTTATAAAAAAATAATACGGCTCTAAATAATGACAGTTCGTATCTACGGTCTCATTTTGATTTGAGACGA